ATAATGCAAGATGTCCCAAAGTACTGCATTCAACACAGAATTGTCGTAGAAGTCGAATCGAGTTCTGTAAACAAGGGATTTTCCAAGGGAAAATTGTTGAACTCACTTTTGTGATTGAATCATCAATGCAAGCCAAACATTGATCAATTTCACTCAAAGTATACCTAACACAGGAGAACTATTGTCGTGAAAGTGTTGTACAGTCCATTACAAATTTAGATTGCAGAGAGTTTGTTCTGAGGGCTAAAGGCACTCACGATAGAGCACATTTTGCTTTATTCTAACAGACGTTGCAGCTCAAATAATCTTTCAGGGTCTTTTTGGTTTTCAGAGTCAGTCCTTTCTCTTCCACCTACAGATGTCCTGTTGAGCGGCCAACGGACCGTTAAACAAGGATCTGCAGCTCCACCTTCGAATCCAATATCTTTCAAAATTGACACAAACTTTTTCCACCATTGTCGTTCTCCTTGCACGGTCCCATATGCGGTTTTCATTAATTCAATACAATCTTCACTCATATCAATTGACGAATCCATAAGATCATATCCAACAGGCAGATTCATGAATATCTGTTCTCCTCCATCAAATTCTCCATGTTGAAAGGCTGTTTCCACATCGATCAACCAAGCGTCAAGTTTCCAAATCACCATTGCAACCAGTAGTATTCTCCATGTGATGTCATTGATAAGTGGAGCAAAGTGTTCTGTGAAGTCAACTCCAGGAATTTGTGAGTATCCGCATGGAACAAGTCTCCATTTCTCTTGATCTTGAATACCCATTTGCATTTGATGCATCTTCTTCCATATGGTAGATCTCTTTGTTTCATTTTTCACCAAAATCCACGGCGTATCATGTCACGAAATTCCTTTCTAATTGCTTCTCGCCATTTGTCCCGTTGATATTTGTCTGGATGGTTCCATGCTTCTTGGAAGTTCTTTGGTTCTTTGTACTTGGTGTCTTCCGCTTTTTTGTTTTCCACAATATTTTCCATCATTTCTTCTGTCACTTGTAGCACTGGATCTGGCCACTGTAAATCCGGATTCATCATCATGTTTGCAACATCGTTTTTGTTGAATAGTGGTCCACTTCGATCCCCTGTGAAATTGATTTCTTCTTCTTCCGTTGGTACTTCTGTTGTTCGAACACAAGTTGCTGTCTCCCTTCCTGATTCGGAATTTGCAGTTGCCAATCTTGTTTGGGTCCGAGTACAAAGTATTGGTTGGGTCCCATGTCGGTCCGTGTCCCATGTTCGTAAATCTTGCTGCCATCTGGGAATTGGTGCTGTTGTCGCCCGTGGTTGCTTTGGCCCAAATCGTGTACTACCTCTTTGTTGATTTGCCCCCGAGTCCAATTGTGCTGCTGGTATTGTTGCCGTCTCTGCTGGTGCTGCAGCTGTTGGAATCGGTCCCGGTTCTGGTGCTGTTGTGTTTGCGTCATTTGTGTTAGTTGTTGGTGCTTGTGTAATATCATTGTCATTTACTGTTTCCAATAGAATCTCCTGTGCCAATCGTAGTGTGTTGGCTTTCTTGATTCCCTTCCAATCTCCGTAGCTTTTTTTCAACCAGGACACATCTCGACTTGAACTGATTTGCTTTGTCTTTGGATAGTAGAATTTCCAAATCAATTTTTGGAAACTCCCCGTAGATTTGCGTAGAATCCAAGTTTCTGGTAGGATGTGTCATGAATCATGCCTAGAATAGTACCTTTAAATTTTGCGCGCACCTTCGTGGCTATTCGTAGAAATTGTACCAAATGGAAGAAACACAAAAATTCCATTTCCATTGTCAACCTCCTGGAGGCTCGTTGGCATCAACAAAACATTGTTGTGCAAGGATTTTTTGAATATTCTCGTTCATTATGCATTGAAGAAGCCCAAAATCGAAAAAATCCTGTTCTTCCACGGTCTTTCAGTTTACCCTTGATCTTTGTGTGTACCTTAATCACTGCCATTTCACCAAATGTTCTCAAGTGTCTCGCAAATCTAGCTTCTTGTTTCCAGAATGTTTGATGTGAACTTTGTTCACCACGTTGATAGACAAGTGCTGTGTCCAATTTCGTCGCTGTATCTGCTGCTTCTGCCCATAGATTGCCACGCATCGTTTCTGTCATCCGAGCAGTGTTCATCATAGCACAAACTTGTCCGAAAGCCGTTGCAAACTTCCTTTCGACTCGTCCATTTTGCTGTGGTGTATTGGGCGCTGTGAATTCAAAGGTCAAACCGAGTCCTTCATTCTTTGCTTCATCTTGGAACTGCATGTTCTCTCCAGCTCTGTCACATCGAATCTTTTTGACTTTGAATCCTTTTGCATTTAGGTTGTTCACCAAAGCTATCATCTTAGCACTTGTTTCGCTTTTCTTCTTTAGGAACATTGAAAATATGAAATCGGATGCGTTGTCCATCACTTGGAGCCAAAACTTATTTCCACCCGCGCTTTTCTTCTTTACACTTGATATATCGGTCATTAGTTCTTCCCTGGGACTTCAGATCTGTCAACTTGCTCCTTCAAAATGTTTGCTTGTCTCAATTTTGCCAATGCACAGTTCTCGCACTTTTCCAATTTCAATTGCAGTTTCAAGTTGTATGCATGTGCTGTATCAAATAAAGGTGACCGTGCTATTGAATATGAGATCGACCATGCTGTGGTGCACGTGTACGATCTCTAGAGTCCGTAAGTAGTAAGGACAAATCGGCCTCCAGGGAAGCACGTCGATCTGACGATGGTAACACTCTTTTTAAGAATACGTTTGATTACAATACTGTCTACCGTCTATCATAGCTACTACTTT